CGGTATGCTGGAGTCTCCACGCAGACACCCTCCCTGTGTGTGCACCTTCAGGGTCTTTCCCTGCAGACACAGGAAGCCGAGCGCTGTCTAGCTGGCTCCGCAGTCCAAACCCCGAAGTGTGCGCTAGCGTTCGGCTTTTTTCTGCCTTTTTTTCTTTTCTCCCCTCCGAATATTTCTTTTGTTTCAGACTCTGTCATAAAATGAATGCAGATATTAGCAACCGTGTCCTTGCCTTGTCCAACACAATGGCTTAAAACAGCACCCTGCCCGCTTCTAGCTTTTTGGAAGGCACTTTCCTCAACTATCTAGAAGCTACAACTATTCCTCAGCTGTGAAGATGGCTCTCAGGGAGCATTGTTTCCACCTGAACAGCCAACATTTAATAAATTACACGCCACATGAACTGTGCTGGGTGCGTCTTCAAAGTTAAACTTTTTCTTACTGAAAAACGGGTTAACATTGAACGTGTCAGTGAGAACGCAGAAACCTGAAATCTGCCCATCTAGAGTTGGAGTGTCCACACCCTTTGATGGGACAATTCTGTTGTAAGGACGGCGTGGCTGGGAAGAATTGACACAGTACCTTTGAGGAGGTCACAGCACTGAGCCGACCGAAGTACACCTGTCAGGGCGTACCTGAAATCTCTGTCTAGATAGTGCAGTAATTAGCCCTGAGTTATTTCTTTTTCCTTTAATCACTACCAGAGGGAGTGATGGGAGGTGTTACCCTTTAAAAGACCTGGTCTTCACTACAGGGATCTCCAGTGATGCCAGCAGAGATTACTCAGAGCTGGGCTTCAGCTTGTTGAATTCTGGGGGCCTATTGATATGCTGCTTATGTGAGGAGAGGAGGCTTAAGCAAGCCATTCTCCTTTTGAGGTTGTCCTAAACTCTGAGAGGTAGGTCTGCATCTTAATACTAAAACGTTGAGGCAACTGCACTCCCCTCCCGCTCTCACACAGACCCCCCCAACACACACACACACACACACACACACACACACACACACTCCACCTTCTCCACCCCCAACCTAATTTCCTTCTTCCTTTCCCTCCCCTTTCTGTATAGAAAGTTTTAGTAGTAAAATGTTCTCTCCCCCCATCTTCTGTAATCACAAATTTTTTCTAGAAGAGTCTTCAGGAATTTTTGTTCTGGGATGCCCATACCATCTATTTTGAGGTTGAGCCTACTTTTTTCTTCCCTGAGTAAGAGCTCTTAGTACTGTTGAGTGGTTTCTGGGTGAATCCTAAAGATGGGCACTGGAGTCATTGCTGCTTGTTCCTTCGGCTTGCGTGCCACTTGCTCTTCATTTAAGGCCCCCACTCCTCTGGCTACTCTTCTGGATATGCTGAGAGCTGTGGTCCAGCACATTGTCTTTCATTAGAAGATGGACTTACTTTGGAAGAGAATGGCACAAGCTCAGGAAGGTCATACTGGTCCCTGTCTCCTTTGCTTATTGGTCTCCCACAAAGAGTTGTTGGAGTGTGAGTGATGAGCTTTCCTAGAGACACGACTACTTTTTTCTTCTGAAACTTTTGTTTTTAAAATATTTTTATTAATTCTTTGAGAATGTCACACACTTTATTTTGATCATGTTCATCCTGCTTCCCCTTCTCTAATTCCTCCTATAGCCACCCTTTCCACGTTCACTCCCCACACAATGTGAGGTTCTCTTCCTGCTAGTGTTGCCACACACTCTCCAGAGGGGGGCCTGCCAGGGATCACACCATTAAGGAAAACTGACTCTCGATCTCCTAGCAACTATCAAATGCCAGTAGTTACTCAGTACTGGGAATTCATGCCCTGCCCCCAATTCTGCTGGGAATTTGTCTGGCCTTAGCTTACAAAAGTCTTGTGGATGTTTTCACAATCACTGAGTGCATATGAGCAACTGTCCTGTTGTGTCCAGAAAACATTTGTTTCCTTGATGTTATCTACCATCCTTGGGTTTGACTGTCTTTTCACCTACTCTTCCACCGAGATCCCTGGGCCTTAGGAGTAGGGCGTGACCTGTTTGTTCCCTTTAGGACTGAGCACTCCAGTCTCTTCGTTTTCTGCACAACGACCAGCGGAGGGTCTCTGTATTAATTGCTATCCACAATGATGAGAGACTTAGTTCTCTGATAATTATTAAGCAATGGGTATAGGAATAAATCATTAAAAGTTGATTTAGTGCTATGTCTCCTCTTGGGCCTGTCTGTCACCTATCTAATCACAAATTCTTGGCCCTATTAACAGTGCCAGGAATGGGTTCCATTTCACAGAGCAGGCTTTAGATGCAATCAGAAAGTCATTAGTTATGTTCATGATGTCCATGCCACTGTTGTACAAGTAGGTATATCTTGTGAAGCCTGTCGTTACTGTAGTTGATAGGGGGTCACAGCTGAGTGAGAGTGAAGATTGCATTTTCCCCTGCTAGCATGCATGGCACCTTCCAGCAGTAGGAAAGCTAGCCAGTAGAGATAAGGTTCAGCACCAGTGTATTACTGTGTTCTGTGATTCCAATATGTGGTATATGAAGCCTATTTTAAAAACTTTTTGCTTACAGTTTTCATATAGTTACTTTAGAATATGTATCCAGAGGTTTCTTGTGAAATTTTCTCCAAAAAGATCTCATAACCTGTCCCTTTTATGTAGCTTGTGTATTTCTGCTTGTGAAAAGCCTGATAAGAGATACTAGGTGTCTGGTGCAGGGTGTAGTAATGAACACCTTTAATCCCAGAACTCAGGAGACAGACACAGGTGAATCTTTGTGAGTTCCAGGACAGCCAGAGCTATGTAGTGAAACCCTGTCACAAACAAACAAACAGAAGGACATGTCGAATTTGAGTAGAAAACTTGAGTATATTCATTCACCTACTAAATCTTTGGCGAATGTATTCATTTCTCTTTTGTAGTACTAGGGATCAACCCAGGCCTTGTGTTGCTGGGCACATGTTCTTGCCACTTGCAAACCCTGATGATGATTCCATTTGCCAACTGCTTGTTCCCGGGAACTATGCTAGGCACAGGGGAAGTAATATTGAACAGGCAGACAGCTCTCCTGCCCTGTTTGTGCCTATGGTCTAGCCAGTTAGAAAGACTGGATTAGTTAGAAGCAGGTTGCAAAAGTGTGTGTTAGGCTGGGGACAGATAGGAGATTGGTCTGGGCTGTGGGGAAAAACTGCTTTAGTAAATAGGGCCAGAAGCTAAGTCAGCCTAACTAGGCATGTGGGCCAAGACAGCTTGCAGTCGAAGGCAGCGTGGGAGAATTTGCGACACAGGAGTGAAGTGTGAGGTCTTCAAACAGGGTAGGGACTAGGAGTCTACGCAGAGACAAGGATCCATCTGACTGGAGACAGCAGATATACTAGGGCATTTGGGAAGCCTTACCGTGGCCCGTGTAGGCTGTATGGTGTGGTGTGATGTGGGTGTTTATGCGCATGTTCAAGTGTGCATGTGTGTGAAATTTAAACAAGCTACTCTGTTTGCAGCATACAAAGTTTTCCAGTTTCAGGTCTGGGGTCAAAGCTCTGTGGAAAAGTTTGCCTATCATGCATAAAAGATCAAGTGTTTTGTT